TTCTACTTGCACACTGCCCATCTTCATAGTGTCCTCCTACTTGCACACTGTCCATCTTCATAGTCTCCTCTTACTTACACACTGCCCATCTTCATAGTGTCCTCTTACTTGTACACTGCCCATATTCATAGTGTCCTCCTACTTGCACACTGCCCATCTTCATAGTGTCCTCCTACTTGCACACTGCCCATCTTCATAGTGTCCTCCTACTTACACACTGCCCATCTTCATAGTGTCCTCCTACTTGCACACTGCCCATATTCATAGTGTCCTCCTACTTGCACACTGCCCATATTCATAGTGTCCTCCTACTTGCACACTGCCCATCTTCATAGTGTCTTCCTACTTGCACACTGCCCATATTCATAGTGTCCTCCTACTTGCACACTGCCCATCTTCATAGTGTCCTCCTACTTGCACACTGCCCATATTCATAGTGTCCTCCTACTTATACACTGCCCATCTTCATAGTGTCCTCCTCTCACTTACACACTGCCCATCTTCATAGTGTCCTCCTACTCGCACACTGCCCATATTCATAGTGTCCTACTTACACACTGCCATATTCATAGTGTCCTTCTACTTACACACTGCCCATATTCATAGTGTCCTCCTACTTACACACTGCCCATCTCCATAGTGTCCTCCTACTTGCACACTGCCCATATTCATAGTGTCCTACTTACACACTGCCCATCTTCATAGTGTCCTCCTACTTACACACTGCCCATATTCATAGTGTCCTCCTACTTACACACTGCCCATCTCCATAGTGTCCTCCTACTTGCACACTGCCCATATTCTCCAGTCTGCTTGCCTCTCTGTTAACAGATTTTTCAGTTGTCATCATATACAGTTTCAATGAATGTTTTCAACTTAGACCATTCAAATCTCTATTCTCTAATATATAATATAGAGAAAAGAAATTGAGGAAGAGATACAGAGAAGGCAAATGGCTCTCAAAGAAGAAAGCAGAAGAAGACGTGTTATGTCTAAAAAGGTAGTAGATTTAGATATTAATTGGGTTAGATGAGTTATAATTCTCTGTATCAGTTTATGATGTAAACTGTTTTATAGCTGCTGTTTTCTATTTTGTAATTCTAGATTGTTTCCAAGGACAACATTTTGTGAAAGTCACTGTGACTGTCTGTTTAAAGACCCAAAATAAAATTTTCACTGCTGTGTAGTTACCACTCTCCTTTGATTTTAGTGAATGATACTTTTTTTTTGTCTTCAAAATAAAAATAAAAACTTGACATTTAACCTATTTGCTCTATTAGTAGTGCATGTACTGACATGTGTGTGTCAAAATATGTCATATTTGAATGAATGAATTTGAATTTTTCATATGCATTTCTATTGAAGATGCAGTATATTAGTGTGTGTGTGTGTGTGTGTGTGTGTGGGGGGGGGTGTTAAATGTGGAATCATCTAAATTGAGGCTATTCTTGTAGTAGAGAGTATTGAATAATGACATCAATATCTCTTTTTAGGAAGACCCTGTCCCAGAGGAAAAGAATAAAAAATCAGATGAATCTGAGGATTTGATGCAGAACACATCCAGTGAGTCAACTACTTCATCTCCAACTAGAAGAAAACGTCAGCCTGACCCTGTAAATGGAGATGACAAGCTTAAACTAAGGTTAGTACATAAATGTTGAATTTGCTTCCAAGTACATTGTTATCCAGGCGTTCTCTCCGGACTTTATGTAAGTAATCACAGTTAATTTTCATAATTGTATTAGCATGTTAATTAGTTCCAATTTTCATGTCATCTCAAAAATAATCTTTTATTTTTAATTAACTGGCGATTCAACATTTATGTATTTTTACCGTATTACCCCGGGCATGCGCCCATCCCCGGGCAAGCGCCCACCCCCCTGTTTTCATAAAATTTACATGTTGGGGACATCCTCGGTTAAACACCCAGGGTGATTTTTAGCCAAGAACGGGGTCAACAGTAAAGTTTTATTTGTCAAAAACGAACGCGTTTGATTTATTTAAATAGTGTGTTTGTTACGGTAGTTTTCTTTTTGGAGTGTGTGGTGGCCCTGAAGAGGGCTGTTTTGTTTGTGTTTTTACGTAAAACTCATTGGAACTTAACGATGTAAGATGAACCACGCAGCATGTGGCGCACACGTTCTGCTTTCTTTTCATTCACGATGAATCCAATATTGCAATAATCCATACCTTGGTGAGTGGTTTAATGCACTTAGCTTTGGTTTCAAAACGTAGCACTTCGCTGACTGTGAATCCATAACGGGAGCACAGTCAGCTGGCATCGGTGTCGCTGGGTGTATATAATAAAGGGAAGTTGTGCAACCAAATTTGCCGAGTTCGCAGTTTTTCGCCAATAAAAAAATAACTAAAGCAAAAATACAGATCAAAACACTAGATGACTTAAAGTAGTTTCATGATTCAGATAATCTCAGGTCTATGTTTCAGATCAAAATACCATGATTTGGATAGACTCAGGTCTATGTTTCTGATCAAAATACCATGATTTTGATAGACGAACAAATATTCACTTGATTTAATTTTAACAGATTTGATGTTTTATGGATACTCATTTGTGGTAGTGGATATTTATACAATTTATTCTATTGTTAACTTTTCAGTAATTATCAGCCCTATTCATTGCCTTCAATTATCATTACTTAATATTTAATTCTTTTTACCAGACATTCCAGCTCTACTCGAATAAGGCATGATTCATGTGGAAATGAGTCAAGAAGTAGGAAAGGTAGTGGTAATGTTGGAACCGTGACTACAACATTCTATACTAAAGGAAATAGAACAATAACAAGAGGGAAATGTTTAGGTCAGTATAAATCTCTCATCACTTTATTCTATTTTTTTAAGTAGTCATAATGCTTGATTTTTAGTCCATATACGGATAATTTATTATCAATAACCTTCCTGCATGTCTCTGTTTGTAAGGTTCAATAATTGTGCTATTTTTTTTATCTTGAGACAAGGCTCATCTGGCATTAAATCTTTTTACATGGGGCAAGGTATCAATGATTGTGCTATGTTTTGATCTCAGGACAAGGCTCATCTGGCAGTAAAGTTTATGTAGGAATGGATACTGCATCTGGGGAGTTAGTGGCCATAGGTGAATGGGTGTTGAAATGGAGGCATTCAATTGGTGGTGATAATGACAGTGAACAAGCTGCACAGTACATGAAAAAGGTGATACCTGGTAACACAGGAAAATAATGATTAATAATGATACCAGTATATTTGACATAACTGTGTGAGACTGAGTGGCAGAATAGATGAATTCTCTGGTTAGGAAGAGAGTAGTGGGATGATTTTATGACCAGTCTTTGTGCTTTTTTTCACAATTATAGTTATGTGACCCTTAGAGATATCCAAGCTGACACAAACTATGTTACGTAAATCTCAGAGATATCCAAGATGACACAAACTATGTTACGTAAATCTCAGAGATATCCAAGATGACACAAACTATGTTACGTAAATCT